TTTGTTACAGTTTCCTAACATTTAAATTGATGGTCTTTCTCATGACCATCTCAAATACCTTCCTTTTTTTTTTTTTTACAGCAAATTCCATATCAACTTACTTTTCTTCGTCTTCTTTTGATCATTTTCTCTTCCTGCCGTTACATGTTCTCTTTCTCTCCCTTTTGTTCTTTCTGGTTGCTATTATTTTTTGTCATATCTTACATTTATGAAACAGTTCGTCCTTCCCATCTATATTTATTATAAACTTGCAAAATAATTATTACACATGAGTTTATTTCACCTTTATCATCTTCTTTCACTTGTCTCATGGGCCAAAAATGCCTCAGTAAATTAAAAAAAAATTTTCTTTAGAGCTGAAAAAAATAGAACAGAAGAATGATTACTCAGTCAGGAAACAGGTTTTACTGTGGTGGATTTGATAGGCATGTTGATTCACCGTATTGTATTTGTGCAAAGGTGCACACCCCCTTCAGGTGCGATAAAACCCACAGTCTGATGAAATCTTGAGCAAAAAGAATACATTATTTGAATGTTGCCCCCTGGTTTCCCAACACTTAGGGAAAAGGGTCCGTTTTATAGTCTAGAAGAGAGACACCCAAAGTCAGGGTCATTGGGACCCAGCTGATGGGGTCACAGTTGCTGTCAAAAAAAAAAAAAATTAAAATTCATTCCTTTAAAATTCCATATATTGAGTATAAAATAACTGAAACAAAAAGCTATGAAATACTTATATAAATTGGGTTAAATTTATTTATGTATATATTCAACAGCTACTTAGTAAAATTGAGTAAAAATGATCTCGTAATTGTCAGTAGGTAATATCCGATAATTACTAATAAAATTTAATTAATATCAGTTTGTAACTTCTACTTATTCAGATAAGGTAAGATTTACCCCCCAAAAAGACTTTCAGATGGTCATCATCTCAGTGTTTTGAATCTATAAAATCTGATCATGCAGATTTGGTTTTAAGCCATGATATGGAATCGAGCCTTCACTCTCCCTGTAACAACAAATAAGTTACAAGTCATTCATCTAACATTACAATCAGTCTGAAGCTCTTTAATGAAGGCACAAATTAAACACAAGGTAAATATCCTGCATAGTTTCTCTGTGCTCCTCTGATAAGAGCGGTCTGTCAGTCTGTCATACTTGACAAGGGTCTATTATACAGAAATAACAGATTGTTTACTTACCTCACTAAAATAAAGGCATTAAAATTGCATGAATTAATGTTCAGGCTTCATAAAATAAATTACAAAACTATGAAAGCATTTCTTAAACACTGACATTCCAATAATACCCAATATAATGTAAAATGATTTCTTAAATATTTGTGTTTTCACACATACTAGCGGAACACAGTGATACTTTGTTCATTTTACAGCTTGTTTATTTTCATCTGGTCCAATCCCAGCACCGCTGGATGAGCGTCTTGACTGGCCGTAAAAGACGTGCAATACGTCATGTTTACATACAGAACGTCTCTGTTTACATGAGTCCATAGAGTCAGGATTGTAAAAATAAAACTCTGAGAAGTAACGCTAAACATTGACAACAGAGACACCCCCACGCAGTACACAAGTATGCAGGAAATTTGTAGTGCAGATCATTTTGTTTATAAACGGACTGTAGCAGAAACTGATTTGCAGCCATGCTAACAGAGCTACCAGGTAAACAAATACACATGTGAGGCATTTCAGATGTTGGCGAGATGTTGGTGTTTTTTTCCAACCAGCTGATGCATTGTAAATTTTTGCATTATATTGTAGCGAACTCTTGAACTGGTGTATCATTTTGAGACAGGATTTCTCATGGGCAGCAAAAATATGCTGATAAATTGTCCCTCATTGACAACAGTGTGTCTTGGTTCAGCGTGATGTGCCCCACAGTTGGAGAGAGCAGACCTTTCTACTGCACATATTATACTTAATGGCCATTTATACCTTACCATACAACAACACTTTCAAAAGCTGAACTATCCTCTTTACGGACTGTGTGTTGCCCATTTAAACCTCCGCCCATTTAATAACATTAGAAAAAGCCGGTGTTGATTAGTTCCTAACCTCAAAACCAGCAGTCAGACACGGTCATGCATGCTAACTAATCTTGTAAAAATCACACTGCAAACACATTTCATTGCAAACCCTACTTACTGGCGGTTCTAAGTTTTATATTGGGATCAGTTATGTTTGTTTCTCCATGCAGCGATTTGTCCAGATGGTAAAACAGCCATGGTGCTGCCAGGGACAGATTCAAACTTTCGTTTCAAGTAATGGCGCATAACACAGACACATGCCAAAAGTGAAGTGGAATATTTCATCATTTCATAAATTACCATTTGCATTCGCACTATACACAGCAAACGCATGTGCAGTTTGAAGCACAGGACTCACGGCTTTGAGGTATATTTTAGCCTATTTTTCCATGTAACAGTTGCTACTGTTAACAGATTGGTAGTATGTGTAAAATTTAGCCATTACTTTGTAATTCCTTGGCTGAATACAATAGTTGAGTAAATTTTATGTGGTTTGCATAGATTATATTTCCCACTCTCCAAAACCACTTCTTTCAGTGAACAAGCTTTGGCACAGGAACTATTCACATTGACAGATGCACCTGTGAAGAAGCAGGGGAAGATGTTAACCTCAAATGCATGTTTATGAAATGATTCACCAGCAGATAAGAAACACAACTTTGCTCACAGGGGGTGCCAAAGTCAACACAAACTAAAAACTCCTCACAGACGCTTTAGCTCACTGTCATTGTGAGCCCTAAGTCATCTTGCACAGGTGGTTGGAGCATGATTTTATGTGAGGAACAGTTGCAGCTTGATTAGAGCTTACTGTCTGCTGCAAAATCATCACGTGTTATGAAACTATTAGTGTGTTTTGAATGAATCTGGATTATTCTTTTTTTGTTCCGGATAATTTGTCTATAAGCAGCCTCAAGCATCAGAAAAAAAGAGACACCAATTCTTAAACCTTCAACGTCTGGATAGCCCAATATGGCCTTTTTGACAAAACATTATATGCCACTCAACTTTTTCGCTTATTCAAACTTTTTCTCATTAAAATTATTTTACTTGGATTATTTTACTTTTCTTTTCACTTTAAATGTTATCATGCAAGATGTGCACTTGACATGATGTGATAAACACCCTCAAAGAAGAGGATGACTGTGTACATCCACAGTGAATTACACTTGCCTAAACACTACAGAGAAGAGGCGATGAGTAGAGTTACATGCACACCTGGACTTATTTATCAGATTGCTGAAAATGCTACAAACTTGTCTCCTCCACTTCATGTGAAGTCTTAAAACTTGGAAACAAACACAAAAAGGAATCACAGTCTGACAGCAACCGATTCAAACACCCGCAATCAAGTGTCCACTTAAATCACAGATAGCACCAGTGCCACTAAGTTTAAGTCTGCTGGTGTTGAATTTCGATATAACAGGAGTTATAAATGTGTGGGGTTTTTTTTTCGTTTTTTTAACTTCCAGCTCTTCTTTCCAAACTCGTCTGAAAATAAGTCTTTAGGGGAGCAAGAGTCCCGGTTTTAACAATGTGCAAGGTTTCAACAAGGAGTGCACAAACACAGAAGCTTGTGGATCAGTGAGATCTCACAACAATTGTGATTTTGGGACTTTCCGATTTTTTTTCTTTTCTGTCTGATGTCTGAATCCGAATTATGGGCTTAGGGCTACAGGTTTAACACCGTCACTGTCAGAGGCTGTTTATGATGTATGTGATTAACTGATAAAAGACTGTATGAGTGAATTGTCCTTTGGGATTCCATAATTCTGAACTCTGAATTTACTGCCTGGAGGAACTGTTTTAAGCTGTGTTTGCAGCAAAGACTTTTTTCTGCTCAGCCTCTTTTTTATGTGCTTTATGAACTTTTCTGACACACATGCAAAGTAATCTGACTTGAACAAAAGGGAGGCCTATGTGACACATAAAAGAAACATAATGTAATACAATAATTTGAGATAGTCTAATTATAACCAGGTCCATATATGGCATTTTGACATAATCAACATTCTAAGTCTGATGTCTCCATCCTCCTTTTAAAAATACTAACACATGGTTCCCATCTGAAATTAATATATAACAGCTAGTGTTGTATATAAATCCTTTTATTATATAAAGAATTAGCCAGTTTAATGTTGCATCTGACATAGTTACCTTGTGACAAAATCTATCACTGTTGACGTTTTAGAATCATACTTAGCTTTTAGGTTAAAAGATAAAAAACAGGCTTTTTCTCCAGCTGCTTGGCTGAGTTTATTTTATAATCATAAAACAATTCTCCACAAGAAGCTTTATTAAATGAAACACTCTGCAAATTTGTCCCCCATTTACATAAAAAAAGAAATACTATTCATAAAATATTTACTATTTAGCATGGTACGCAGTATATCCTAGTTTAGTAATGTTGTTTTATTTTATTAGCATGAACATTATAAAATACTAAAATCTATAAATAAATATGTGAATCAGAAACAATATCTGAGTGATATTATCAGCAGCACAGTATCACACTCCCTTGAGTCTTCATAGCATTTAAATTGTGTCTTCCTAAATTGAATCATCAAGCTTTTCAACCCACTTATATTTTCAATATGGGGACCAATCACACACTCAGACCTGTACAGTCGTGGCCAAAAGTTTTGAGAATAACACAAATATTGATTTTGACAAAATTTGCTGCTTCAATTTTTCTAATGCCAATTTGCACGTACTCCAGAATGTTAGGAAGAGTGATCAGCTCAATTGCAATTGATTGCAAAGTCCCTCTTTGGCTTGAAAATGAACTTTATCCCCAAGACACATTTACACTGCATTTTAGCCACGCCACAAAAAGACCAGCTAACATCATTTCAATGACATGAACCATGTTAACACAGGTGTGGGTGTTGATGAGGACAAGGCTGGAGATCAATCTGTCATGATTGTGTTAAAGTGACAGACTCAACACTTCAAAAGGAGGATGGCGCTTAACATCATTGTTCCCCTTCTGTTAACCATGGTTACCTGCAAGGAAACATGTGCAGTCATCATTGCACTGCACAAAAAGGGCCTAACAGGAAAGTTTATAGCAGCTACCAAGATTGCACCTCAGTCAGCCATCTATCGGATCATCAAGAGCTTCAAGGAGAGAGGTTCAAGTGTTGCCAAAAAGGCTCCAGGACGCCCAAGAAAGTCCACTAAGTGCCAGGACCGTCTCCTGAAGTTGTTTCAGCTGCGGGATCGGGCCGCCACCAGTGCAGAGCTTGCTCAGGAATGGCAGCAGGCAGGTGTGAGTGTATCTGCACGCACAGTGAGGCGAAGACTTTTGGAGGCAGGCCTGGTGTCAAGAAGGGCAGCAAAGAAGCCACTTCTCTCCAGAAAAAATATCAAGGACAGACTGATTTTCTGCAAAAAGTACAGGGATTGGACTGCTGAGGACTGGGGTAAAGTGATTTTCTCAGATGAATCTCCTTTCCGATTCTTTGGGACATCTGGAAAAAGGCCTGTCCGGAGAAGATGAGGTGAGCGCTACCATCAGTCCTGTCTGATGCCAACAGTCAAATTTCCTGAGACCATCCATGTGTGGGGTTGCTTCTCAGTGAAGGGAGTGGGCTCTCTCACAATCTTGCCAAAAACACAGCCATGAATAAAGAATGGCACCAGAACGTCCTCCAAGAGCAGCTTCTCCCAACCATCCAAGACCAGTTTGGTGATGAACAATGTTTTTTCCAGTATTTATACTTTTATCAGTATTTAATGATTGACATTGCAGTACATGGGAATCAATCCACCTCTGTAAAACAAAAGGATCCAGCTTAATTTTCACTCAAAATGCCGTCAAACCTTTATCTACAATGCCTTGGACGTCTTTTTAAAACCAAACTAACCCAGAACTACTGGGATGTAATTTTGGACTGAATTAATATTAGGCCTATCTGTGTGTCCAGAAATATGGTCACTGTACAAATTAAAGATGTGGTGAAATTGCACTGGCATCCCCTGTTATTATGAGAAATGATCAGAGGTCTTTGGGTAGAAATAATCCAGGTTTAAGGCATTTAGTTAATTCTGTCTTTAAAAGTGCAAAAGAGGTTATTGAAATACCAGGATGAAGACATAAACCTGGGCATCGGCATGAAACTTTTGTCGAGCAGTGCTGTCCTTCACATTGAAAAAGACATGAGTTATGTGCAGAACAAAACAGAGCAGGTTTATTTCAGGGTCCCAGGAAGACGTGGCAGTTTGTTCATTATTATTTAGACGAGGACAAGAAGCTTATCACAGCAGAGGAAATTAAATAATGAAAGAGGAGGGCTGATAAAACAATGAGCCTGAAATTAATCACCATTTACCTGCTGAGGAGGAAAAGAGAGAACAGGGCTGAGGTTATCACATCCATACATCTGCATACAGTATTTATACTGTATTCATTATATAGATTAAATCACATTTAGCTACATCACATAAATGCGGCTGTGATGCATAGCTTTTTTTTTTTTCCACTTATTTGGTATAAAGATTATATTTGTGTGTGCAACATTAAACTATCAATTAAATGAAGAAAAATTACACAATTATGAAGTGAAATGTGTAAAAACATGTAAACCCATCTGCAACACATTTTTATCTCCTTTATTTTGAAAGGTAACCAAAAACAGCTGATTTATTTCCTGACTGTCCATCATGTCTTATCCTTACGTGTCTTCATAGTGAAAAAACTTCAGACCAGCTTCATTAACCTGACAACTCCAGATTAACATCTTACTTCAAAGGCCGAGAATTAGAGTGGAGTGAAAATCATCTGCAAATGGGGTCAGAAAATAATCACCATGTGAGGTCTTCTTATGAGGATATCTCATTATTTCTTTTTTATTCATCATAATCATTTCAGGTTCCAAATTTGGCTTATATCAGATATCTGTTTGTAGTTGTCAGGTTAATGTGTCATGTATAGGTGTAATACACCATTTTGAATTAAATCAAAACCCAGATCTTGCCTTATTTTGAGTTGTTTTTTTTTTGTTGTTTTTTTGTTTTTTTGCAGCACAGGGAAAAGTCTACAGCTCGAAAAAAATGAATTAAGAAAATTAAGGAAAAAAATGTGCAAGTCTGTATTTAATAGCAGAGACCAACAGAGAAGAAGTAGCTATAATATCAGATCAACTATAAACATCCAGACAAGTTTGTACTGATATTTATGAAGATCAAACAAAAGTTTTCACTGTGAGGAGAAAGCAATAAAGAGAGATGGGAACAACTGAAAAGAAAAAAAAGGAGAATTATTTATTTAATTTAATATTTATTAAACAGGGGCAATACATACAACATTGCCACAAGAAATGGAAAATGTGTTGCATACAAGACGTCTAGCTTCAGCTAATTTGCAGTCTTAGAATAAATTAAAAGGTAAAGGTAAATACAGTCACAAAAGCAGTTAAAACAAATCAAAATATTAAGAGTGGAAAAAAAACACCAAAAAAGAAATCCACTTCATTATTAATTTATTTATTTATTTTTCACATAATGATGAAATATAACAACATATAAAATCAGAGCCATAACAGCAACCAAAGAGAGATAATGTTAGGGATTTTTTATTTTTTTTAGGGCAAATTAGATTAAAAATAAATAAAATTAGAAAGTAACAAAACAGATAAACATACAGCAAAAAACAAATAACATTTGTGATCCTGCAGACAAAATACTAAAACAAGTAATTTAATAATGAAATATTTAGTTTATTATTATTATTATTATTATTATTATTATTATTATTATTATTATTATTATTATTATTAAAGAAGTAGAAGGAGAGTGTTTCTTCCTGAAATTAAAACACAACTCTTGTTCTCCCTCTCCCTTTCGGTCACATCCATGTTTGGAGCACTTACTGTGGGCCTGGAATGAAAATAAACATTTATCAGGTATTATTCAATAACAGCAGGTTGCTATCATGTATCAGGTATCAGTGTCAGCAATCACTCTGTAATGAATGATTAAATGAGAAATTGATTTGACTAACTGAAATCCTGATGGAAATAGCGACACTCTGACACATTTTTCTTCTATTAGGCCTTTTTCTTTGAGTAAAAATAGTCTGTACTCTTCAGTTAAGCACCTTATTTCTGAAGTCCAAATCACACAAAAAAATGCAATATGTCCATAAAAGCTCAGGTACACACTGCTGGCCCAACTGAACGTTTTAAGTAAGCCCACAAAAAAGGTAATCAAAACCCTCCAACCCACTATTTGAAAGAAAGAAAGAAAGAAAGAAAGAAAGAAAGAAAGAAAGAAAGAAAGAAAGAAAGAAAGAAAGAAAGAAAGAAAGAAAGAAAGAATCAAACCCACTGAATAAAAAGAAAAAATATGCTAAACATCAAAAACAAAAAAATAGATATAGAGACATGACCCTCCTTAACTAATGTATGTGTATCTTTGTTTCTATCCTGCTCTTTTATTAACTCTGTCTACATATTCATGCCAAATAAACAGCAGTATTTATGTTGCATGATATCAGTATGTCTATTTATGAAATGAAAAAGAAGACTGTCCTTATAAAAAAAATAAACAATGTCAAAATACACCTTTTTTTTGTGGATGCAGATGCCCTTTTTTTTCCAATGACGACCAGGTTTGTGTTTATCTGGTGTTTTGCTGGATAGAGCATCATAAATTAAGGGGGGGTGTAGGGACTATTGATTTTAGTCCCAGACCCCTTCTCTGTCTGCTGTCCAGGTTTCTGGACTTTCAAAACACTTTCAAAACACAGTTTTAACAATCTGAATAAAAACACGATAATGACAGAATCTGAATGAGCAGTTTAGTGACCTGTGATTAGCATTTGTGTTCACCCAAGTAGATTCATCATGTGCTTGTTATTACTTTTTCTTTCAACTCAAACTCATGACTACATCTGTTATTAAGACTGTAAACACTGGCTGCTTTTGATTAAATTAATAAGAACACTGCTTCAATTTCCCGGAGCCCTTTGATTTTATGGAGGAAGCAGAGAGTTAGTAATTAGAATCTGCTCAATATCAAGTTATGTGGATTTAATATAACTTGATTAAGAACGAAAACTCTTATTGATCATTGAAAAGAAGCATCTCTCTCCATTATGTCTCTCTGGTTCATCTTCATAATCTGTTCTGCTTGAGGGTAACAGAGCTAAAAACTTCACTGCTCTGATCATATTTTACACCTGAGAGTCCGGCTGATATTGTTTGACAGACATAAAGACGTCACGCCGACAGAAAAAGCTGGTTTGGAGACAGGCAGCAGGTAAAGATCAACGGTGTGCTGAGAGAGTGGGAGATTTTTAATATTGTGTAGGGAGCACTGGGAAGGTGAATGGGTGCTTAGGAGCACAAATCACCAAGACGGTGTTTCATTTAGTCAACAGAGAGAGGAAGTTATGGCATACACACACTCTTACACACACACACACACACACACACATACACACACACTTAAGTTTTAGGTGAGAGAGTGTGTGTGCACTCACACAGACACACACATTATTGAGCTAATGAAAAACAGTAACTCATAAGCATACAAACACAAGCATGGACACATTTTGTTTTGCTGCAGAAAAGCTTTTTTGGGTGCGCGTGCGCACACACACACACACACACACACACACACACACACACACTCACACACACACACACACATACCCTGCAGACACACACGTGAACACAGAGGGAGTGTGTACATGCACAGTATGTGCTGTGTCTCTGTAATCAGCTGTAAGTGTACCACAGTGAGTCATAGACCATCTCTCCATCCATTTAGGTACGAGCCTCTGCAGAGTGCAGCTGCCTGCTGTGTTTATTAAAAATATAACAGCCCTATTACACTCATTAGGTGATTCCTCGCATTGACACACAAAACCATACTCACACACATACACGCACGCACACACAAAATAAATAAATAAAGCAGGAAGAACAAACCAATGCCTGAGTTTGATACAGGGTAAAATCACTCTGCTCTGTCTTTGCTGTGGTGGAGTTTCCTTACGGGCACCTTTGGGCAGGGACGGGGAATGAAACTGAGGTCTATCCAAGGGAGGATGCTGTATCTTTTAGAAACCTGAAGATCAGTCAGAGGTCACTAGTTCTGCTACCAGGATATGACATCATATCTGAGCCTGAATTTGATCATATTACTGGAGCCCAACAAGCATCAGCTGTCCAGTAAAGCTTCTACAAGGAGGAATGAAGAAGGTAAAAAACTACTCAAAGAATGTGGACAGGGGTTCTACATGTGGCTATGTTTTACAAAAACCAAAAAGATCCTAAAAGGGGAGAAAAAACCTTCATGCAAAGCACATCAGCTCTGTGCATCAAATTATTCTTGCAAGTGGGACAAAGATAAATAGTGTAAGCAGTACACCACGATATGCTATCTAACACACTTATATACTGATTATTTTTAATTCTCAAAAAATAGTTTTAACTAGAGTTTAGACATTTGAGGTTGTAACAAACATAAATCCTTACCTCAGGCAATTCTAGA